TTGGGACTTTTTTTTAGGTCCTGTGAAAATATACTAATAGACCCACAGACATGATAAGAACTTGAGCAAGGACAGAGGCTGACAAGCAGACGCTGATGAACACAAGTGAATTATATTGGAAGTGGTATATATTACCCATTTTTTTTTTTGTCTCTTAATGCATTTAGTATCTCCACACATCAGTTTGCCAAAAGTCCCATTTGTAGTTAGGCAGAGTAAATTTTGTTCTCTTCCTTTTTTAAAAAAAAAAGTCATCTGTTTGGGAACCAGTTAGTAGTACCAGGCAATGTATATAAAGCTTATCATGTAGGAGTGGTTTTGTTTTTCTCATTGAAGACTTTTTGAGATATGGACACTTTGCTTTTGTAAGTTATAATGGATTGGAGGTGGTATGTTCCTAAGTTGTAGTACCCAGCACAGTGCCAGATCAAATTAGATTGATTGCTGGTACCATTTCTCCCTTGGGTAGGAAAAATAAACATCGCTCTTGAATGGGAAGCTCTGGCTTCAAGGAATCTTTGGCCTTCTCTAGCTCATTCCTTCACTTTGTAGACAACAGCCAAAGCCCCATTGAAGAGAGAGGGCTTCTGGGGACCATGGGGAGTCTGACTAGAATCCAGGGGTCTTTCTCACTCCACAGTTCATGCGTTTTCCTCACAGTGGGCAGCCTCCTAACCCAGCTGTCAGGGTCAAGCCAGGCACTATCTATGACTTTGGGTGCTGCTCCCCTCTGAGCCTCAGTTTCCCTAAAGCAAAAATGAGTAGATTGAACTACATCATCTCTGGGGTTCCTTCCTTTCATAAATACTTTAGATCATAATCGATTTAAAATATGAATGTCTCAGTTTCCCATAATCCCTGTTTATATTTAGCCAGGGTTATAACTTAATGCATCTGATTTGAAAAGAGAGTCTTTGCAAAATAGTCACAGCTCCTAAAATTTGAAGTTTTTAAAAAAAGAATAAAGAGCTCAACATGATAGCTAGGACGTGATGCCAGTAGCACAACAAATGAACATGATATTCTTTAAAAATTCCAACCGTGTGATTTAATTTCATATTTCTTCTTTCTATTTAAGAGAAAATAATACAAGCTTGAGAAGCAGTAAATATGTAAAGAGAAAATTTGTCAACTGATATTGGAAGATCTGACCTAGGTCACACATAAATCTTCCAGACAAGAGCTGCAGGGCAAGCCATAATTTCAGAGAGTAAAAGAGAAAATGAAAGCTATAGCTAGTGTCTTCTCTAAGTTACAGAGGTGGATTCATTTTAGTTTTCTGATTGTGCCTCTGAATACAATGTAAAAGAGTCTGGTAGCAAGATCTGTTTTACTATTGTATGTAAAAAGTTCCTCTACAGAGAGTGAAGCATAAAGTGAGACTTCCAAAATCGCTTTTTATCACCGGAGTCATTGACTAAATAGTTGAGGCCCCACAAGCAAACTTTTACATTGGCAATTTCCTTTCCAGCATCATTTTTCACAGTCATAAGTCATGTTATAAGAGTTTTCTAATTGCTAACTGGATGGTCCTTGTAAGGAAGTATATATGTTAAATGTTAGTATAATAATACCAAGACCTAACTGATACTTGTGGCTGCCTTTTATGAAGTAATTCTTCCCCATTTAAACACATAAGAGTCTGTCTTACATCAGAATGAGACATAACTATCCCAATAGTGTGGTTTTAAATCTTGGATCTAACAGCTAATGCAAGAAAAATCTATGCCCAGAAAAGGGAAGAGGTTCATCTAATTCATCTATCAAAATGCTACTATTTCTAGAGACTGACTGACCAAGTATGTGACTGGAACAATTGTTGTTCTCTCTCTCATTGTCCCAAAGTACTAGTTAGACGTAGAAAACACTCAACACACCGAAAATGTTTAAGCAGGAGTGTGGGCTTGGACAAGTTAGTTACAAACAGCATTTCATATGTTGTGAGGTGCAGGCGGTACATCAGCCCTAACAATATTATTGTGTTCCTCTGAACTCTGCTCTCACAGCTAAGCATTTGAAAGGCAGACCCAGAATAAAGATAGGCATTCACAAAGCCAGCATTTTATATTGAGGACCCTTGGTTCCACTTTTAATGTGCTATAAAACTAGGGGCTTCACTTTTTCATGAACTGTGTGCAAAAGCAGAGGCAATGACTGGAGGTTGACTGGATCTGTTTTATGGTTGCTGCACATATACAGTAATGTGATCTTGAAAAAGGTAAGCAACAGAGAGCTTAGCAGTGAAAAACATGCCTAATATAAATACAGCCAAGTACATGGCCGTTCAGAACTTTAAAAATATGACTGTGGCATTAGATTTTCTGCTGGAATTAATAGAGGAACAGAATACAGCCTTTATGGCAATATATCTGAGACAGAAAAAGGAGATAATAGATCTAACTCTATGGTCTGTGTGGCATTCATATAAAGAAAAGCACAGTAGCTTTATTTAATTGAGAAAATGAATCAATTACAATGATGTTGCATCATCAAATTCTTGTGAAATAGAAGATACAAGTCACTGCATTGTGTAACTGTTAAAAAGTAATTGAGTATCTTAAGCATTTTGAATCAATTTCAGGTACTGACAATGCTACCTTAATACAAAATTTATGAAGGTGATTTCATATAATATGTTGCTATGAAAACTGTATAATAAAACCCGATAACAACATCTCTCTTTAAAAACCTGGGCAAAACAGTGTAGCTATAAGATTTTTAAAAAAGACTTTGATATTGCTGTTTTTGTTTTTGTTTTTTTTTTTTTAGTAAAAAGCAAGAATTAATGGTACAATTTTAAGTTGTCTTAGACCAAGCTTTTAACCTGCAGAATAGGGCAAACTAGAGACCTTGTTTAAGACCTCAGTTCATGAGGAAGTTTTCTCCCCTCAGTTAATTTGATTTCATTCTCCCCTCAGTTAACTCATATGTTACTGGGAACTAACTCTAATTCTCTAATTAATTAACTAATTCTCCCCTCAGTTAACTCATATATTACTGGGAATAGTGTTTCATAATCCGTGTCTGAATTCACTTCAAAACTTCTCACTTAGAATGTTTGCCACATGTTCTCAAAGAATGTTGTCATCCCCTGACTCTTGGAAATTTGTGAATAACATTCTCTTTGATGTCAGAAGTGGATTTCTAATTCTTTGTTCATTACAAATAACTCTGCTATTGTAGTAGATATATCTTACTAGGAATGTGGGGGTGAGGAAAGTATCATGTATGCTTGAGAAAAGAAATAAATGCAAATACCATAGATATCTCATGTCATAGGATCCAGGCTTTTCAGTATTTTTAAAGGGGGTGTGGCTTGTTAATGAAATTCTTAACCGCTTCAGGGTGGTGGTTACAGCTCCACCTCCCCTTGTGGTATAAATCTTTACCTGCAGAATCTTGTCTAGAAGTACTCCTGGACTGGAGGAACCAGAAGAAGCAGTAATTCAGGACAACATTAAGCAGGAACTATCAACAGCGACTAAGTCAGTCAACCTGGGACAGAGGTTTCTGAAAGTAGTGACTGGGGAGGAAGTGATGAAAAACCAAGAGGAGCAATGAGTAGACACCATGTTCATTTGACAAATACATGGGAAAACACCTTTTAAAACATTCAAGCACTGGGAGGAAGGGTGTGCTGATCAGCCACATGGATGCAGAAGAAATGCATAAATGTAGCAGCACCCCTTGAGAAACTCACAGTCTAGGTAACAGGAACCAACATGTCAAAATTGATTATTTATCAACAATACCATACCAAGTATAAATGTATGCAAATCCAGTTGTTTTCAAATAACTCTGCGATCACAGGCAGGTGTAATAGGCTGGAAGGAAAGCTGCTTAGGAAGAGCCCCAGCACCACCACACCCCGGCCTTGAGGCCTCAGGCCTGGACCTTGTCCTCTGAGACACCCAGTTTTCCCATCATAGAGTAAAGATGATCATCTCTGCCAGCCTCAGGATGGTGGTGCACATAAAATGAGTGTGTATATGGGGAAGAGTTTTCTAAAGCACCTTCAGAAACATACAAGGGACTATGATAGTTTCCCTTTATTTTACCAGCTGATTGGAGCTCGTTTATCTCAGAAAACAGTTGACTCATCAGTAATAGTATTTGTTTCCTGAAAGTTCTCCGTCAGAAAATTCAGTACCTGGGGTTTCATTTTCATTGAGTTCAGAATAACTGTCGGCTTTATTTTTCCTGGATGGGGAAGCATTGAAGTGTTTAGTACTTTAATGACTAAGAGGATGTTTTATTAATTTTTGTGTCACGTTTTAGTAGCTTTCTAAGAAATATAGTCTATCAGTGTTAAATGTGTGAGCAGCCTGCCTTCAGAATGTTGATCAGAAACGCACTCTTACTGGACTCTGCTTTTATTCCCTAAAAAACAGTGTAAAACTTGCATGAATTTGATTTTCCCAGAGAGCATTGCTGCCCTGGAAACAGGCTGAAGGAACTTTGGAAAAGGTGGAGTTGTTACCCCACTCCTAAGTTAGGGGCAAATACTTCAACCACGTAATTAAAGTTTTCTTCACAAAATAGGGGATTGTGAACAGACACTGGCAAGAATCCAAAATTCTAATTTCTGACTATGATTTAATTTCAATTTTAAATAAATCGGTTTTTAATTTAAAAAGAGTGAGCTTCATAACATTAGCAATGATTGCAACATTAAGCCCAGTGTTCACAATCTAGCAATATAAAACATTATTTATATCTGAATCGTAAACAGCCTTTTGAAATGGATTATGGTTTTTCTCCCTATTCTAATACAACCTGGAGGGTACTAAAAAGTGTTGTGTGAAATTAACATTCTGCTGACTTTCGCCTATAAATGAGAAGCGAGCTATTAACATTTGTGTATTTTCATTATGTAAATTGTGTTAACACATGCCCACAAATTGCCACCAGCAATGCAATAATTTTCTCTCAGTGATCATAATGTGTCCAAGTGAGTCATTTTGATTATGACATGCTAATTACATATTGCCTTTTTTCAGATTCAGAAAAACCAGGGATCTTTAATGGTAAGCTTTATGAGTTCAGAAAAAAATTCACTTTTCTTTTTCCTGATGGCTGCTTCCTTTGCATGCTTGAATGCCTTGTTTTAAACTTAGCAAATTGCATTTTGAAGAAAATGCAAACCTTTAACTGCCTGTATTAGATTAGGTACCATTAGAAATAATAGAACATCCTGAGCGTCAATGTTTTTATAAGAGTTTGCTGTTGTTGATTAATCTTGCTGTATTTTATTGCATTAATGATTTTTTCTTTCCACTCCACTGTAAAGATATTGCATGGAGGCTAATACTTTTTGCTCTCTTCTTTTCCATTGCAGCCTCTCCAGCTTCTGCAGTGCATTGTTGATGAGGTGAGGCATCGTCTTATGTGCTTTCACTCCTAAAGTCATTCCTAATGGTGTGGAAAGCTTATATTTTGTTTCCTAATGAAGCACAATGCCCAACATCCTTAGAGCAAGTTGTGTTGTATGGATCTGAGCTGTGTTACGTGAACTGGCCTTGTCCTGAATCCCGCTCTTCTGATTCTGGCCAAGAAACCCTGCAAAAACAGACTGTCCCGCAGGCTGGTCCTCGGGGGTATCAGATGCCCTCAAGACAGAACGCAGTAATATAAATTGACCCTCTCCCTGGCCAGATGGGGATGGAGCTGGAAATTAAACTGGTATCATTTTTTTCTTCAACAGATATTTAAAGTCATTCAGAAGGCAAGGGTCAGAGTTGAACATCAAGTATAAGCTGGATGAAATTTGCCTGCCTTGAGTTATTTACCCAAAGCATATCAGAGTGATAAAAGGGTTCAAAAACTCTTGGTCAACGGTTCAGCTTTAATTTCCTAATTAGGCATTTTTCTCAGAATATGCCCCTAACATCTTGTGTGTTCTAGTAGCTGAAAACCTGTATTCTCACATTTTAATTGAGCTTACCTCTGATCATCCTTATTCATTGAGTTCCACTGTTCCTTTGCCTTTATGGTGCTAATCTACCCGCCTTCAACTTTGTCTACTTCTTCTTCTTCTTTTTTTTTTTTTTTGAGACGGAGTTTCGCTCTTGTTACCCAGGCTGGAGGGCAATGGCGCGATCTCGGCTCACCGCAACCTCCGCCTCCTGTGTTCAGGCAATTCTCCTGCCTCAGCCTCCTGAGTAGCTGGGATTACAGGCACGTGCCACCATGCCCAGCTAATTTTTTGTATTTTTAGTAGAGACGGGGTTTCACCGTGTTGACCAGGATGGTTTCGATCTCTTGACCTCGTGATCCACCCGCCTCGGCCTCCCAAAGTGCTGGGATTACAGGCGTGAGCCACCGCGCCCGGCCTGTCTACTTCTTATTCTGACTTTAAATTCCTTTCTCCCATAGATCATCAGTCTTATAATACACAAGGCTCTCAAGAAACATTAACATTTTCTTTAAAAACTGAGCTTTTTGGGGCTTGGGTTTGCCTACTAGCAATGTTTATTTTTTAAACTTTAATTTTAAAATATTTAAAACACTTGTAATTAGAGAGGGAGGGCAATAAATGACTCAGATAGGAAAGTCTGAGAGAAAAAATTGTAATTCATAATCATTTCTCCCAATTAAACATCTGTATAACCAGTTATGAGATTTGGGAGAAAAAGATCCTCCTAGGAAAAAAACAAACACACACACATATCACAATAATAGTAAGAGTGGGGCTCCAACATCCTTAATGGTTGCATCAGTCAGTCCATATATCCCACGCAAGCCATAAACCCATGTTGATGTAAAAATGAAGGCATCCTCCTGAAACAAATGGAGGCTCCATTATCTCTAATATCAGACAGGCCCCCTGGATCTAATAGCTCATCAATATCCTCTGTCATCTTGGGTTCCAAAACATACTATCCCCATCAGAATCCTCCCAATTTAACTAGTTTTCCTGAGGTCCCCCTCCAGTTTTGCTTGGGGAAGTGCCTGGGGAAACTTGCCTACCCAGTTTCATGCACAGCCTCCTGTGTTTCCTGGGCTGTACCCGTTGGTCTGCCAGGCTCCTAGGCATCAGAAGAACATCCAGATAAAGACATTCCTCGCCAATACTATGTGTGTTTCTGGACAGCTCATCTGAAGATTTTCTGTATCAAATAGTTGTTTTCATTCCTTATTTAAAGTAGCAGTGATTGCTCTTCAATTTAAAATATCATGCTCATTTAATTTGGGCAAAATCATGAGACTTTTGAAATTACCGTAGGGAGATGTTGTATTTAAGTGAAGATCGATGAAGTACAATAATATATAACTTAAATGGCATATGTTTCTTCACAGCATTTCTTCCTTAGTCAAGAGAAAAAAATGTAACTTCAACATCTATTCCTATTTACTCTAAAGCCATCTTCATTGTGGAAACTTGGGAAATGAACATTGCCAAGTTGATCTTGGAACTGAGCTGATATTCTGCAATAAAAGTATTAGGAAAGGATTGGCTAAATGACCTGCCTTGGACAAGATGAATTATAGCATCTAAGAGAGGAAGGATTGGTGGGGTCCTGTGCTTACTGCGCTTCTCCTGTATGTCTATCAGAGTTCTCATTGCTGCGATGCAGTGTTCCTCATAGGGTGGTCCAAGGACTGACTGCATCAGAATTGCCTAAGGCTTTTGTTATAATGCAAATTCCTGGGCTCAGATCACTGAATTAGACTTTCTAGGGGTCCAGCCTAGAATCCACTAGCTTCCCAGGTAACTCTCTGCACACTAAAGTTTGAGAACCACTTCTCAAACTTCCCTAACTGCTTGCTAGGTCTAACTGTTCCCCTTTAGTTCCCACAGGGCAGTTAGCTAGCCATCTTCATTTGCATCTGACTTTTAGGCCTTTTATTTGTGAATGAATATGCCCCAGTCAAGATTTGAGTCGTTGTACTGCTTGGGAGTAGGATTTACCCCATTGTGAAATGGGTATCTGATGCTAGTATGTACTACTACCTGTTAGAGAAAAGTCAGATCAAAAAGTACTTCTCCTGAGGGTTCCTAATTCAGACAAGATGGGTATATTGGCATCATGTACAAAATAGCTATTGCAAAGCCCAGTGTAACATATTTTCTTATTGTGTGAATTCAGCTTGACCTCCTGTTGTGACCTGGCAAAGAGTGAAGATGTAGTAAAACACCACTAAGGTGGGCAAGAGCCAGTCCTGGAGTGGCCAGAGATGAATGTTAGAGCCAGTCTGGGAGTCAGGAGGTGGAATCATGGAACAAAGCCAGTGTTAGCAACCAGATGTCCAAACGGAAGACACCAAAAACTAAACAGGAGTAAGAATCATGACCATGAAACTCAGACCACAGATCAGGAACTGGGAGGGTAGCCAAGGTAACAGGAGAATTGAGCTCCAATCAGAAATCTGGGCGGTCCAATTAAATTTTGGTGGGTGGTGTTTCTCTGAGTTTGCGCTGGCTAGCTCAGGTGTAACAGAACTTCTTCCCTTAAGGTCCTTATGTAATCAGGTCCTCCCTCAGTCCCTGAATACCTGCATTGTAAAGTGCTTTGGTTCTTTGTAAGTGATGTGTGTCTATGTGTACCTGATGCCTTAGCCATCTGATAACTTTGGGGAATAAGTTGCCCCTGTTGTCCACATAACTGAAATTTATTACGTTAAGCTCTGACAGCTATGAGAAAATTTGCATTTTTAGAAAGAAGTGTTTCTAAAATCTATTTGTTTTTGCCAGCCTGTTGACAGAGTGTGGTGAATATCATTTAACCTTTTCTCAGTGACTTAGGCCCTTGTTCTGAACGTGGTACTGAACTTAAACTTTGATGTATTGATGCCCTCCAGGGCTGTAGAATTGTGTGAGGTTTACCTTGTTCTTTCACTGAATTTTACCAACCATTTTGCCAGAGTATTTGGCATTGACAGTGATATTGTTGGGCCTCTTGAATTGTATAGAGCCCTTTGCCCCAAGGCTGATCTGCCTTAGTAACTGTGCTGCTCTACATGGTGCTTTTCCTGTGCCCTCTTGTGATTGCCACTGTTCTCTATGGGCACGCCTCATTCTTGTCAGTGACTACCTTTTGCCTCAACAATCTGACCATCTGTCTTCAGTCTTCCTCTTTTTTTTTTTTGAGATGGAGTTTCGCTCTTGTTGCCCAGGCTGGAGTGCAGTGGCAAGATCTCTGCTCACTGCAACCTCTGTCTCCCAAATTCAAGTGATTCTTCTGTCTCAGCTCCCAAAGTAGCTGGGACTACAGGCACATACCACCACACCTGGCTAATTTTTTGTGTTATTAATAGAGATGGGGTTTCACTATGTTGGCCAGGCTGGTCTCGAACTCCTGACTTCAAGTGATTCTCCTGCCTTGGCCTCCCAAAGTGCTGGGATTACCTGCGTGAGCCACCGCACCTGGCCTGTCTTTGGTCTTTGCACTCCTGATAGTGACCTTACCAAAACTAAAAAGTACCATTTGAAATCAGCTACCCAAGGTGGTATATACAGTCAAATACAGTGGTTCACACTTGCAATCCCAGCACTTAGGGAGGCCATGGCAGAAGGATTCAAAACCGGTGTGGGGCAACACAGTGAGACCTTGTCTCCAAAAAATAAAAAAATTAGTCAGACATGTTGGCATGCACCTCTAGTTCTAACTACTCGGGAAGCTGAGGTGGGAGAATCACTTGAGCCCAGAAGGTTGAGGCTACAGTGAGCCATGATGGTATCATTGCACTTCAGCCTGAGTGACCGTGAGATCCTACCTCAAAAAAATAAATAAATAAGTAAATCATAAATTATAATCATAAAGAATAAAGTACTTAGGAATAAATTTAACAAAAGAAGTGGAAAGTTTTGTACACCAAAAACTACAAAGCATTATTGAAATAAATGGAAAGACCGGGCACGGTGGCTCACACCTGTAATCCCAGCACTTTGGGAGGCCAAGGCAGGTGGATCACGTGAGATCAAGAGTTCAAGAGCAGCCTGGCCAAAACAGCGAAACCCTCTCTCTACTAAAAATACAAAAATTAGCCAGGCAGGGTGACGGACACCTGTAATCCCTGCTACTCGGGAGGCTGAGGCAGGAAAATCACTTGAACCCAGGAGGCAGAGGTTACAGTGAACAGAGATCATGCCACTACACTCGAGCCTGGGCGACAGAAAAGACCCTCTCAAAAACAAAAGAATTGGAAGGACATTTTATGTTCACAAAGGGAGACTTAATATCATCACGATGGAAGTACTCTCAAAATTGATCTGCAGACTCAGTGTAATTCGTATTAAAACTCCAGTAGGCTTTTTTGCAGAAATGGATAAACTAATCCTAAAATTCCTATGGAAATGCAAGGGACTCAGAACAGCCAAAACAGTCATCGAAGGAAAAACAAAACAGTGTTGCAGGATTTATACTTTCT